TTTCTGTAATTCAGACATAGCCTGTTGCTGTGGCCCCCATTTGTAAGCAGTTTTCTTCTGAGTGGTTTTATGGATGGTGGCCAGCAATATTGCCAGATGTGGAATATGTACTCTCCAAAATCCAAATAAACCAACCAAATGTTGGGCCTCCTGCTTAGTCTTGGGGGTAGGTAGCGACAACAACTTATTCTTAGTTGCCTGCAGAATGTCATGGGTGGCTGCTGCCCCAGTTATTCCCAAGAATTTCACCGTTTGGGCAGGGCCCTGGATTTTTGCTGGATTTATTAACCTGCCTCTGTTGGTCATGTGGGCCACCACTATATTCAAGTCAGTCCTAGCCTGTTCTTCGGTGTTTGATATTAACATAATATTGTCAACGTAATGAATCATTATGCTTGAGATTTGCACCAAATTCAAGTTTCTTCTAGCTAAACTATGACAGTAAGCTAGTGAATTCAAGTAACCTTGTGGCAACATAGTGAAAGTAAGTTGGGATCCTTCCTATGTGAAAGCAAACTGTGGCTGGCTCTTTTCTGAGATTGGGATGAAGAAAAAGGCATTTGCAAGATCAATTACTGAGTACCAGTTTCCTTTAGCCTGCTGTATTTTCTCCACCGTTGCTACCATGTGTGGAACAGCTGAAGCCACAGGTGGCACTACTTTATTTAGGCCTCTATAGTCTACTGTCAGCCTGCATGAGCCATCTGCCTTTTTCATGGGTCATCTAAACCAAAAAACCAAACCAGTTGCCGTTGAATCAATTCTGACTCATAGCAACCTTACGGGACACAGTAGAACTGCACCATAGGGTTTCCAAGGAGCAGATGGTGGGTTCCAACTGCCAACCTTTTGGTTAGTAACTGAGCTCTTAACCACTACACCACCAGGACTCCTCATGGACCATACAGGGCTATTATACAAAGAATTTGTTGGCACCAACATTCCAGACTTTAGCATGTCTTTAATCAAAATGGTAATCTCCTTTTGTCCACCAGGTATCCTATACTGTTTCAAATTAACAACCTGAGTGGGATCAGGCAATTTTAATGGTTCTTATTTACCATGTCCAAACAATACTGGCCTAAGGGCAGACTTACATGCCTTCAGTTTTACAATATCAGGTGGAGGGAGTGTTCCCCAATTAGACATAATATCTATACCAATAATACATTCAGGTGAGGGAGATGCAACTACTTCATACAAGATCTATTTAAATCTTCCAGTTCTTATCCAAACTTCCACCTTATTCCTATCAACTGTTGTATCCTCATAACCCCCCAGTCTAAACTTTGGCTCCTTGAAGATTTTATTAACAGATTTTGGGATTACAGTACATTGGGCTCAGCCTCTAAAAGGTCTCTTCCCTACCCCCAGGCATTTCTCATGCTATTTTTCCAAAGAACCAAGGCAAAAGACCTCATAAACGAATTCATTTCACCACAGGGATCCATCAGTTCTCAAAGTGGGGTGTGTGTGTGTGTGTTAGAGTGTCCCATGAACATACAAGAATCCTCGGCTTACAAAGACACCCAATATACAATGGTAGAATGGTGTCATGTATTGAACTGTGTCCCCCAAAAATATGTGTATTAATTTGGCTAGACCATGATTCCCAGTGTTGTGTGATTGTCCACCATTTTGTCATCTGATGTGATTTTCCTGTGTGTTGTAAATCCTATCTCTATGATGTTGATGAGATGGAATTAGTGGTAATTATGTTGATGAGGAAGGACTCAGTCTACAAGAATGGATTGTGTTTTGAGCCAATCTCTTTTGAGATATAAAAGAGAGAAGCGAGCAAAGAGACATGGGGACCTTATATCACCAAGAAAGCAGCACTGGGAGTAGAGCTCGTCCATTGGACCCAGAGTTCCTGTGCGGAGAAGCTCCTAGACCAAGGCAAGATTGATGACAAAGACCTTCCTCCAGAGATGACAAAGAGAGAAAGCCTTCTCCTGGAACTGGCTCCCTGAATTTGGACTTGTAACCTCCTAGACTGTGACAGAATAAATTTCTCTTTGTTAAAGCCATCCACTTGTGGTATTTCTATTATAGCAGCACTAGATAACTGAGACAAATGGGAATGGGGTATGAACAATGATAACTCCCAATGAGAAAAAGAATACAGGATAGGAAATAGTTACTATTCCATAGCAATTAACCAAGACCTGTGCACAGGAATAGCAAGGATTCTCCACCCTGGCAGTAGAGTAGGTTTCCTAATTAGCCAATTTGGAAGCACTGGTTCTACTATCTAGAGATTGACTATTGTCCTTCATGGCTCCTGGCTTTGCCCTCTTGCATTTCTTCATTCTTTTCTATGGCTATACATTACTTGGGCATTAGAAAGTATATATTTCTTGGGAACAAAATGGCATTCCTAGGAATCAAGAATGCAAATGAAATGGGCAAACTATTCTGTATTGGAATGCAAAGGACTTGGAAGGGGGTGGCATGAAAGAAAGAGAGAAGAAGGAGGACCGAGTAAAGCAGTGGAGTGAGTGAAGAACTTTTGATAACAGGACTGCCTAATTTTCCTTTCAAATTCTTTCTTTTGCCAGTGCATCAGGAAAGTATGTTACATAATGAAGGGTCATTTGTGAGGGATTCTTTACAGAAAGCAAGGGAAAGAGCTGGATGGGTACTACTGTAGGTTGATTTATTTCAAAACAAGGTCAGCAGGCAACAGCCTAAATACTCTACTTGAAGTGGGAACTCACAACCAAAGGTGTTCATGAAAATGTAACTCACATGGGAATTTGTAAAAATTGCTGGTGTAGCAATGGAAGTCCACTGAACAAGATCCAGTTCATGATATGAAGGTCAAAGGTATTTTTGACCAGATATTAAACTTTCTCACTTGACACCTGTTTATTGATTCATTAATTCAATAAATATTTATTAAGTGACTATCTTAGTTATCTAGTGCTGCTATAACAGAAATAATACAAGTGGATGGCTTTAACGAACAGAAATTTTTCTTACAGCTTAGAAGGCTAGACGTCTGAATTCAGAGCGCTGGTTCTAGGGGAAGGCGCGCTCTCTCTGTCGGCTCTGGCAGAAGGTCCTTATCTCTTCTGAGCTTCTGCTCCTGTGCAATACTCATGTGGCTTGGTATCTTTCTTCTCCCCTTTCTATTTGCCTAATCTGCTCTTTTTATCTCTTGTAAGAGATTAACTCAAGACACACCCTGCATCATTAACACAACAAAAAACACATTCCCAAGTGGAATTATGAAACACAGGCATAGAGGGTAGGATTTACGACACATATTTTTGAGAGATGCAATTCAATTCGTAACAGTGACCATCATATCTCAGGCACTATTTTACACGTCAGAGAGGGGGATGCATCAGTGAACAATACAGACAAAAATCCTTGCCCTCAGGTAGCTTACATCATCATTTTGTGAAAGAAAACATACCATACACAGTTATGCTGTTTCATTCAGATAAAATGGACAGTTTGCCTTGAAAATCACAATTTACTAAAACTTACAGAAGGAGCATTGGTGGCGCAGTGGTTAAGCGCTGGGCTGCTAACTGAAAGGTCTATGATTCAAACCCACAAGCTGCTCCGAGGGAGAAAGATGCGGCAATCTGCTTCTGTAGAGATTTATAGCCTTGGAAACCCTATGGGGCATTTAGTCCAATAGCTATTAAAGGAATTGAACCTGTTATTAAAAATCTTCTCAGAGAGAAAACTCAAGACTCAGTTGACTTCACTTATGAATTTTTTCTAAACATTTGAAGAAGATTTAAGACCAGAGAATACAATCACAAAAACCCTTCCCAACTCTTTTTAGGAGGCCATTATAAACTTAATACTAAAACCTGACGAGGACATTAGAGGAAAAGAAAGAACAGACCTTTGTTTTACATAAACATAGAGACAGAAATTCTAAACATATCTACTAAGATAGAATATATATTCTACTATATATATATTTTTTATTATTGCTGTTACTAGGTGCCGTAGAGTTATAGTGACCTATATACAATAGAATGAAACACTGTCCAGTCCTGAGCCATCCACACAGTTGTTGTTATGTTTGAGCCCATTGTTGCAGACACTGTGTCAATCCATCTGGTTGGAGGTATTCCTCTTTTTCACTGACCCTCTACTTCACCAAGCATGATGTCCTCCCCCAGGGACTGGTCCCTCCTGATAACCTGTCCAAAGTACGTGAGACAAGGTTTTGCCATTCTCCCTTCTAAGGAGCATTCTGGCTGTACTTCTTTTGAGACAGATTGTTCATTCTTCTGGCAGTCCATGGTCTATTCAGTATTTTTTGCCAACACCATAATTCAAAGGCATCGATTCATTTTTGGTCTTCCTTATTCATTGTCCAGCTTTTGCAATTGAAAATACCATGGCTTGGGTCAGGCGCACCTTAGTCCTCAAACAGAAGAAGTATATATACATATATATTCTATTCTATATATGTATTCTATACTCTGTTCTCTTTCTAGAAAATATTTATAGTTATATCTATCTATCTGCATCTATCTCTGTATCCAATACATCACAACCAAGTGTAGTTTATTCTAGGAATGCAAGGGTAGTTTAACATTAAAAAATTAATCAATGTAATTTATGGTAATGTAACTTAAAGAATAAATATGATATTATCATCTCAATATATGCAGAAAAAACATTTGATAAAATTAAACAGCCTTTCATGATTTAAAAAAAAAATGAAGAAATCTCCTAGCAAACTAGGAATAAAAGCAAACTTTTGTAATCTGGTAAAAGATAGCCACAAAAAACCTACAGCAAGCATCTTACTTAATGGTGAAATAATAAAGTTTCCCTTAATAGATTATCTCATCTAAGCCTTACAAATTCCCTGTTACTTTTTTCTCTTCTTTTCTCACCTTCTCACCTCCACTTACCCCAGGGTACAGGCTGAGGTCCAAAAACCAAAAAAGATGTCAATAGTAGGCTTACATCTTTTTCTTCCCCCCAAATCAATGAGTAACTCTAAGATAAGACTGTGGCTAGTATGACTCAAGGTGAGATGAAGCTAATCTATTCTGGAAATTGTCCCAAAGCTCCCTCCTCACATTGCCCGTAACAGCATCTGAAGGAGGTGAAGTAGAATTGGCAGCTGTGTCATTAGCCTGGCCTGAGTCCTCACTCAGCGCCCTCTCAAGTCTGGCAGGTAGGAAGTGGATCAGTCTCTTTTGGAAATCCTGGCCCACGAAGACATAGAGCATAGGGTTGAGGCAGCTGTTGAAGGTGGCCAGGGATTTCGTTGGATTAAGTAGGATTAAAAGGATCGAGTACTTACTGTTCATCTCTGTGCCCCAGACTATGGTTAGCAGGGAGACCAGTTGAAAAGGGAACCAGCAGAGAAAAAAGGAAACTATGACAGCAGTGAGGACCCATAAGGGACAGCTGGATTTAATCAGGCCTTTTTGCACGTTGGCAGCAACGAGCCCATAGCAGATAGTGATGATGGACATCAGGATAGTAAAGCCAATGATGAACCGAATGATCATGCAGGACTCCGGCAGGGGAATCACCTCCTTCATGCTCTGTTCAATGGTGTCACCCCAGTAGAATAAACAATGTATTTTCTTTTCCTTATACTCTTTTACTGGAGTTATGAAGATGATAACTGGCAACGTAAGGACTAGGACCAGAATCCAGAGTCCAGTGATCACCCTCTTCGCCAGACCTACAGTGTGGTGATTCTGGGCCCAGACTGGATGCAGGACAAAATACAGCGGTCCAGAGCTATGACAGTAATCAGAAAGATACTTCCATACAGGTTTATGTCCTCCACAATGTAAATTAACTTGCATAGGAGCCAACCAAAAGGCCACTGTTCCTTGGCCATCGAGGCAATGAGGAATGGCAAGCTGGCAGTGAAAGATAAGTCAGCTAAGGCCAGGTTCAGGTAAGAGATGGTGGTGACTGTGCCTGTCATCTAGAAGCCACCTACCCAGATCACAATCCCATTTCCCAGGATGCCGAGGATAAAGGTGATCCCCTGTAATATCAATGGGAATATGTGAAGAATGGTGTGTAACTCATGATATATATCTTCAAATTTATCCTGAATGATAAAGTTGTTGGTTTCCATCTTGCCCATACCTGAAACATTTCAACAACGGTCATTTCTCAGCTGTGGAACCATCTTCCAGTATCCCTATTCATAGCACACACCAACTTCCACTATAGCTCCTACTCCAACCAGGATACCTACTTTACTGAGCCTTGTGGCTATTCATACTATAAAACTGGAAATCTGTTGGTTATTCCTTCTGGGAAGGATAGTTTTCTATACCAAGAGGAGACAAAGCTTCTGTCCACCAGCAGAAATACTGAACCAAGGATGTATAAACAACAGAAAATTGAAGGGAAGCAACTTCAGTATAGTGAGGAAAGCATGGGACTTTAAATTAGGCAGGTGTATGTTCACATCTGCTTCCTCTTCTGACTTTCTTTACTAGTCACTTTCACTGAGGTCTTCTATGGAACATTGCTTAATATAGTGTAGGTATAGTGCAATGGATCGTTTTTATGTGTTCTTTCTCATCATGGTCTTGTAACTCCCTCCCCCAAGTGATTGGGTGGGACTATGCAAATAAAATAATTGTGACCCACCAAGAGGATGGTCAGTTTTGCCATCGCACTAGGCTTAAAATGAGCCATCCCAGAGCGGGGAGGAGAGGAGCTTACTACCACAAAGGAAGAAGAGCCAGGAGTAGAGTGTGTCCTCTGGACATGGGATCCCCGCACTGAGAAGCTTCTGGAACTAGGAGACCAAGAGAGAGAGAGATGTAACACCGAAGATGGTGAGAAGCGGAGGCAGAGAAATGGTGGCAACAGAACCAGAAGACCAGCAGAAAATGGCCCGGCCCGAGGAGCAAGAAAGCTGAGCGCCTTTGGACAGGAGGCTAGCTGGTGGAGTAGGGTGCCTCTGGGCATGTGGCGGAGCTAGGTTTGCTGACCCATGGAGATAGAGCTGAGCGCCTTTGGGCTGAGGCTTACTGGTGGAGTGGGGTGCCTCTGGGCACTCATCGGCAGAGTTAAAAGAGCTTTGTTACATTTGCCAGAGCAGGGCAGAGGCTGAGAGGCCAGAGAGACATACTTGTGGCACAGCTGAAAAAAGGCTGTCCTGATGGAAGAACTGTATCCTGAGCATTCCTGAACCTGAGTTGTAATCTTTTACTTCCCTGATAAACCCCGTAGTTGAGTATGGTCTGTGAGTTCTGTGTGGCCATTGCAATGAATTATCGAACTCAGCAGAGAAGTAGAAAGTGCCATGGGAGGGAGGATTGGTGTCAGAACTGGCAAAGACAGCAGAGAGAGGAGGCATGTCTGACCTCTGCCTCATAGGAATCAGCCTTGTGCTGTTGATCTTGATCCTCCTTCACCCTTGTGAAGTTAGAGGAGGTCAGATGCCACCCCCATGCCAGCAGCGTTTCTCAGCCTGGCACTAATGACATTTGGGGTAATTTTTCTTCTGAAGGCTGTTTAGCAGCATCCCTGGCCTCTATCCACTAGATGTAAATAGAATCCCTCCCTAGCTGTGACACCCAAAAAATTCTACAGACATTGACAAATGTCCCTTGGGGGCAAAATCATCCTGAGTTGAGAAATCACTGTTATAGTGTAAAGAGTGCTGGGCTGTGGAGTCAGATGAATCTGTGTTCTAATCCCACCTTGGACACTTACCCACTATATGTTCTTGATCAGTGATATCTCTTCAAGCCTCAACTTTTTTCTCTGCAGAATAGAGACAATATTGTGGTGAACACTGATTTCAGGTAAGGATTAAATGTAAACAGACATGGAAAGATTCTAGGATGGACTCAGTGAGTCTTCAATAAATGGGGACTCTTGGTCTTTACCAGGCTCTGTACTGTGTCTTGGACACAAGCTTGGGCCATGCATTGTAATTGTAGGAGCTCAAGGTCATGTCAAGAACAGTGCTCAAAACAATAACCAAAAAAACCAAAAACAAAACCATTGCCCATCGAGTCAATTCCAACTCATAGTAACCCTATAGGGCAGAGTAGAACTGCCCTACAAGGGTTTCCAAGGCTGTAATCTTTATGGAAGCAGACTGCCACATCTTTCTCCTGCAGAGCAGTTGGTGGGTTCTAACCCCCGATCTTTTGGTTAGCAGCCGAGTGCTTAACCTCTGCGCCACCAGGGCTCCTCTATCTACTATTTATGAAGAATTTCTATGTGCCAAGAGTTTCTCTTTCAACCCTCACAACAACCTTTCTCGTGGATTTTGAAGATAGAATGTGTTAATATTTGTAAAGCATTGAGCAAACTCTGAGACATTGCAAATATTGAATAGTGTTATAGTTAACATAACCATCGTGCAGATGAAGAACTTGAAGCATAGCGTGGTTACATTCGTTGGTTAAAGTCCCCAATTAGAAAGAGGTAGAGCCAGAATTTGAGCTCAGCCAGACTGATTCCACCAGAATTTGTGCTCTTAACCCTCCCTCACCTCTTGCTGTCTCAACAGCCTCAGATTCTCTCTCCCCACCCTCTGAAGACCCTACCAGACTCTCAGAAGACATGATGTGCTCAATTATCTCTAAATTATTGGTTTTTAAAATGTTAATACAACAAGGAAAGGTGATTCTAGAATGGTGGAGAGGGTTCAGGCCAACAAGGAGAAGTTGTAAAATTGTGGGCCTGCTCTAGTTGGAAGGGGCGGAGAGAACCTAATTATGATGGCTGGTATGTGATGAGCCTCTAATATGTGGCAATCACTGTGCATTTTATCATCTCGAATTACATCTTTCCTTTTGGATGAGTATCACCATCATATAAGAGGAAACCCTGGTTCTGAAAGGGGAAGTGACTTGACCAATGTCACAATTATTAAGGGATGAAATTGGATTTATGACCACAGATTTCAAATGGAAACTGGTCACTTTTTTGCTAGCTTACTCTACTTCTCTAGCATATATATTTTCCCATGCTTGAAAATAATTATTTCAGCCCCTCTGCTTTCTCCTCAAACCTCCGAACCTTCTCTCCCAGCCCCACTTTCAGTTGATGCCCTTGCCTCATATTTTAATGAGAAAATGGTAACAATCAGATGAAAACTTTTTAGCCTTCCTTCCCTCAAACACTCCAATTTATTTGCACCCGTTACTGTGACTAGAGTTCTTGTTCCTTCCAAAGGCTATCCCATCCCCTGCTTTTGCTCTAGATTCCTCTCTCTCTCACCTTTAAGAACTTCCTCTTGCATTATCCTTTTCCTCTTCTGAAAAAAACAAACACAAGATTTTCTTTCTACTAGATCACTCTCATATAGACATTATCATATTTTTAGCCTTCCTTTAAAAGAACCTACGTGGTGCAAATTGTTAACAACTTGGCTACTTACTGAAAGGTTGGCAATTCTAACTTACCTAGAGGTGCTTCAGAAGAAAGGCCTGGCAATCTGCTTCCATAAAGATGACACCCAAGAAAATCTTATGGGGCGGTTCTACTCTGTAACACATGGGATTGCTATGATTCAGAATCCACTCGATGGCAACTGGTTCTGGTTTTTTCCCTTAAAAGAAAACATCCACATACACAATTGGCCTATATTCTTTTTCAGCCTCAGCTCTATTTCTCTTTTTGTGAAGGGAATTCATAGCCAAACTTTAGAAGGAGGTGTCTCTAATTGCCCACTCCACTTCCTCACCTCCTATTTTCTCCTGAACTCATTCCAAATCAGCTAGGGTCCTCAGCATGCCACAGAACGTAGTCTCCTCAAGAATGGCCTCTGAGTTGCTCAATCCAGTGGCCCTCTTATCAACTCTCATTCTGATATCTCAGTAACATAGGACCCATTTGACTTCTTCCTCCTTCTTGAAACATATTTGTCTCATGTTTTTGAGGACACAACACTCTCATAGTGATCTTTTAAGCTTAATTGACCACTTCTTTTCAGTCCATTTCGCAAGCTTTTTCTCCTCTAAATTTAACTCTGAATTTTGGAGTGTCCCAGGGCTTTTACCTCCCCCGCTTTGTTTCTTCTATATATGGTCTTTCCATGGGTGATATCATCTAGTCCCATTGCTTAAAATGTCAAACCAATAATTTCTTATCTAAATCATCAGCCTTGACATCTCCCCAGAACACCAGTCTGATATAATTAACTGACTTGACATCTCCACATGGGAGTTCCATAAGTACCTAAACCTAACATTGCTCAAACTGAGCTCTTGATTGTTCCATCCCCTAAACCTGCCACTCTCCCAACATTCTATATCTATCTGGAGCTTAAACATTCAGTTGTTAAAACTCCAAATATAGAACTTATCCTTGATTTTCCTTTCCTTTATTACTCAATTTAATACAAGCCTTATTGATTCTATCTACAAAATATTCTGAGTCTGTACATGGAATGGTTTCTATCACCATTACCCTTGTCCACACCCCTAGTCTAGCCTCACTTTGCAAAAAACTTATTCATGCTCCTCTTCTCTAAAATCCATTCTCCAGATGGTAGGTAAACGAATTTTTAAAAATGTAAATCAGATTCTGACATTAGAGAAACCGTTTTAATTCTCCAGGAATCCAGATTTTGGGGACCATGGAGTTGGGATGACCCACCCAGACCATCTGCCCTTAGGTGTCCTTTTGAAACTTGAGCCTTTAAGGAACTAGTTTTTCTGGGGTCACCTTCAAGCCAAACAATAACTTAGTAAGCAGCTTAGTGGAGACCATTTTGCCGCAGGCATTGGGCTCTTTTGGAGAATTATCTATGTGTAGCAAGTTTCAAGAAGAAGAAACTCCAGGGTCTGACTGGAAGCTGTGTTTTAGGATATATAGCATGTCCATAATGACTGTTTTTACAACTGACTGACCCTGAAGCCCTGTACGTACTCTGAGAAACCAACATGGAAGGAATTTACAATGACCCCCAGGAATCTACCCTGCCTGAACTTCGCCTATATAACCTGCTTTCACTATCTCTCCTCTTTGGAGTGCCTCCCTGATACCTTCGAGTTGACCCTGCTTGATTTAAATTCTATCTACTCGCAACGAATATATTCATTTTCACTAATTTTTGGTGCTTCTCTTTAACAAACCCATTCTGTTCAACACCCTCTA